TTGCAGATTTGTTTGTCGGCATCTTTCACATAAACTCCAGCGAAATCGGTAACTTCGTTCGTGAATCTTTAAAAAAAAGGGGTTCAGCGAAGGCGATAACAAATGCAAAAAACTACAATGATGAATGTAAGCTATTTTTTTCTGCAAACAAATTCTTGATCCATAAGTCAGAATGAGTCACCACTATCCGCAGTGATTCATTTCTAAAGATTTGGACCACTACAGCTGAAATTTACTGAAACTATATACAGTCAATGAAGTGGAATAGATGCAAATAAATAGGTAAGTAAAGCGAGTCCACTTTGATTTACCTAGTTTTCCACGTGTATGTAGAGCATAGAGTTTTGATGAGAATGAATATAAAATCGAAGAGAAGCATTATAACAAACCTCCCATTTTCGTCTACTGGGCATATGATTTTCATGTCCTTTGTGATTATGCCATTTTCCAGACAGACTTGAAAATCAATCTGAAATATACTAGTCTGACAAAGAAGCGATGATAGTTGACGCTGTAGTAAGGTTTTCCGGATTCAATTCTTTTGTTAAGAGTAACATCTGTTACCGTTCGTTTAAACGCAAAAACATATATTTTTACCAAAAGCTACAAAAGAAATATATTGCTTTTACGTCTGGGAAAAAGATATGGTAAGAAAAAAGGGGAATTGGATCTTGTCGCCTCAAAAGATTAGTTGCAACACAGAGTTACGCGCGAAAATTAGAAAGAAAACATCCGGGACAATCACCTCTCCGAAGTAAGGAGCTTGATGCACGATACCAGTTCCTTGGTCAGTAGTAACAAATGAGTTGCAAAGCACACGAAACGCATTTCTTTCGCTTTTCATGTGGTTAAAGTAAGGAAATAGAGGTTCGTATCCTTTTCCTTCAAACATGCGTCCCTTGAGCTGCAATCAAATTCATTAAAGAGAGCAGTCTTTCAATAAAGTTCTAGAAGCCACCTTTTCCAAAACTATGAGGCTTTCATTTTTCAACTCAAACAATCGCTCCTCCATTATTACGTATTCAACATTGGTCGCGGGATCTAAAAAACTAAAATGTGTAATGAAGTCTATATATAAAGCACAATGTCTGTGCGTGTATGTGTGTGTGTACAATTGTATTTTCCGAATACAAATTGTTTCTACCGATCCGGACCAAACTTCATACAAATATACTTTACTGCGGGTAACGTAAATCACTTTAAGTTGATGTGCTAGTTACAAATATGATAACCACTTAAAGATTTATCGACTGAGACTATTAATCTATTGATTTTTCGCAGTTTCTGGTCAAAGGCGCTGGTGGTTGATGTACTGGGGTAACTTGATATAGCAATTACGAATTTGAGAACCTCTAGAAAAAGATCGTTTCAACTGATTTATTGATTTTTTTGCACTTTTTGTCTTGGGGAGCTGAGAGTTGCTATACTGGGTGATCTGATATGCTGATTACGAATTTGATATCCACTTGAAGGTTTATCAATTTGTTTCATCAATCTAACGGTTTTCGCTTTGGACTACTGGAAGTTGGTGAACAATGGTTTGTTAACAGGCTGATTACGCTACCAATTAAGGCAAAGATGTGCTAACATGTAGTACGATGTTATTTTTTTAAAGGCTAGGTTTGGTAAGATTTTTTATGATGGAAATCTTAGAAGCTAAACTGTACTCCTTTTAGAAAAAAAATAATTTAAAACAAAGAACTATTGACCACTCTAAAATAGCCAAGTGTACCCAGGTATGCAAGCTAGTTAAGCATAAAATACCGCAAGTTTTCTGGTTTTTCATAATTAGTAGGACATCCGAATATCAAGATATTTCCAGTAGTGATGTGGACAATTTTAAAAAGGTATATCCACAGAAGTTGAGCGAGTCGTATCCCTTTGAATACAAATAGATATATCTTCTTCTCGCATCGATTAATAACCTGTATTCCTGAGCACAAAAA